GAAGTGATGGGGACTTCTTGGCAAGTCCATTCTTTTTCATTAATATCTATACCTCAACTTAATTTTTACCTCACTTGAGCACAGTTCTACTCCCTATTGGAACTCTTGGCAAAACAGACAAATTCTGGAGCTACAATACAGTTCCAGTAGAGAACCTGGAAGCAAGGAGTGGAAAGGTAACAGCAGCTTTCATAGTTGTTTCTTCCTCCTTGTTGAGGCAGAACAAGGATGATCGGAAGAAAGTGGCAATGTGATTTTAAAAACACTTTTGCTTTTCCACCAGCTGGAATGATGCAGGAACCAGCCAGCTCCCAGTGTGGTCATTATTCTCTAAAAGACTCCCTCTCTCCCTTCTCATTTTTATCCCTCCTTCTTTGGCAGATTATTTTGAACTCATTCTGATTTGTCATGCAACCACACGAACAGCTGTACTGATGCAGCTGATGCAAAAAGAAGCCGCATGCAAATGGATTAGATAAATACAAGGACTCCTGTGCCAGTTAAAAACCCCATAAATTAAATCCACTGTTTCTATCACTAGTTCACAAAGACTTCTCCTTGCCCCAAAGGTAGGCAAGGCTCTAGTGGATTCCCATATTTTATCACTCTTGATTTTCCCTGCCAAAAAGCCTACTATATTAAGATAGCCTTGAAATGCTTTTCTCAGGAGAAGTTAGCAGTGGTGAAATCAGGACAAGCCAGGGTAACTCTGCTTCCAAAGCAACAACAGAAAAGCTACAATGCACAGGGCCATTGAGGGAAAGAAGTTCTCACAATAAAACCATCATTAGAGCTAAGTCACTGTACCATGGGTCACTGAGACCCACTGGGGCACAGTGGGAAGACATTTCTATCATCAAATAACAGACAGACAGACAGCAAAACAACTGTTCCTGTTTTTTCCTGCTTTTACATGTCATCTGCAATTTCCCTTTCAGTTTCAGTATTTATTTTGAGTTGTTTTTGCTGCCATTTCTTGTCTTGCATACATGTGACCTCTTTCCATTTCACCACAGACTCCCAGCAAATAAAACCATATGCACTGCCATAGCAACATTTTAACACAAACACAGGGTAATCTTTGTTCACTGAAGTACACAGTACAGTTTTTTTTCTCTTATTAACAGAACCTGCATCTGCATACAGTTTAACTGAATGTCATAGCAACAACATAAACACAAATTCAAGATATTTTTTCCTTCGGAGAGAGGAAGAATAAATGTTTTCAGGAAAAGAGCGTGGGACTTAAGAAAGCAGAACGAAAAGTCTGTGACCAAATAGGGCCTGAACTTACTTCATCACAGCTGTATATTTACCCCTGGAAAGTCTCCTCTTGCACAGTATTATACATTCTCAGCTCCTATAGATGTCAATAGAGAACAGCCATATCTGGAGGGCAAGGACTGATGATACAACACATAGCTGGGACTTGCTATCAGCACTACCATGAACTTAGAAATCTATGTACTGTTTTAGAATACAGTTTTGTTTTAGAATACAGTGCATGTTCTGCACTGTAAACAGTTTTACCCCTAATGCACAGTAAAACTCCACTGTTGACTGGAGTAACAAAAGCTGGTCCTGCCTGCCTCTAAGGACTGCTGCCAGCCACACATTCGGCGGCATGGTCCTCTTTTCCTCTATGGATCAACAATTCCTAATGCCAAGATAAATGCAGTAAAACTTAGAATTCAGATGCGTTCATTCAAAACTTTGCTGTTACACTGACAGGGGGTAGAACGTTGTTTATCCATGACAACTCAATAACTTATGCCTCATACCCCAGGAAGTTATACAAAAAAGGAAAACAACCAAGTTCCCTCCTATGGCTGACTCAGTCCTACCTCCCAGCTATTGCTGTGTGCTTAGCTATGCTCTATTTTTGTCCTTTAAGGTTTGTGAAAGGGATGACTTCATTAAGCTTTTGATTTTTTTAAGTAGTGTGTTCATTCAAGACAAGAGCCTTTACTCTTTGGAAGCTGATGGTCCTTCAGCTCAAGCATGCTGGGTTCAGAGTTTGAAACTTGAAAAGTCTAAACATTAAAAGAAATGCTGTAACAACCTACACACAAATAGCTTGTTCCTTCTGTGACAAGTACTTTACAGAGGAAAATAAATGAGTAAGCATAGTAGGCATAAAATCAAACACTCAACGCAAGCTGGTGTTGAATGATGCAGATTAAAACAACATCACACAGTTTTCATTCACAGACATGATCTGTTCTGAATCAAGGCAGAGTCAAGTAGGGATCCTTTTATGATTACAATAGTATGTTTTCAAAACGGACAGAACTGAAGTCTTCCAGACAGCCTTGGCTCCATGCATTAAATTTCTAGTGCTTGACCAGAAATTTAAAAATACAGAAGATGCTTTTTCTCTCTTCAGCTTATTACAAGGTGCTTGTTCCATGTTAAGTCACTCAGAAAGAAATTAAAAACTTTCCTAAATGCCTATGAAAGTGTTAAAAAACATCTGCCTAGCCAAAGGGTGCATAAACCTTGATTTAATCAGTAACATTATTATTATTATGAACTAACCACGGTTGAAGTTCCTACGACAGTGCTGTTGCTGTGTTTTTTGATTCCTCATTATAAAGAAAAATTGAAAAAGCTTAGGAAAACTGAATAAAATATTTGAATTGCATCTGGGTTTGTATTTGATGAATCAGCACTGTTCAAACTAGTGTAACTGTAAAAATAGGTAAGCAGTAACCTAGGAATGAATGGCAAATGCTACCAAGGCTCTCAATTTGATTGAACTCTGAAAGATGATTCTTAGCTCTGTCTGGGAAGTTTCAGTTCTAGTAACCACCACGGGAATGTTCCTTAATCATTTTTAAAAGCCTTCTTTAAGGTAGAGAAGGAGTTAAATCTGAAGGATAGATTTGACAACATCTTCATTTAAAAATGAATTAAACTGTGTTTTGACTCATAAGGAAGCTTAAACTAGATTTATATAAGGGTAGTATTGTGAATTGAGAGGTTAAATAGAGCTAACTTGAAAGTGTCAATACATGACACATTATCTATTTATATAAGAAAAAAACCCCAGAGGCAAACCCTTTCGTACAATTCATGAAAACCCCCAAGAGCATAGGAAAGTAATGGGAATTACAAATCTGCGTTCCTCAGCCAAAGACTAATCACACGCACATGCAGATCAACACTAACATTTGCAGCACTCTCCTTACTGTGCTATGAATCCAACAGAAATGCCATGCCTTCACTCCAGATGAAACATTTTCTAGCAAATGAACTGTGGCAGTTTCGCTGTTCTGCTCTTTTATTGGTATTACTATGAATGAGTTCAAGACTGGTTTAAAGTAATTTGTGGCTACCAAGTCAGTGTGCAGCAATCATTGATTAGGAAAAGCTTATTCACTTTCACTCAACTGAAAAAATATGAAAGCAGCACCTACAGCTAGGAATTCTAGTCCTTTATAAAGGGTTAAAAAAACAAACATTGAAACAAGAGGTGGGCAGAGGACCAACAATGAGTAAAAAGGAAAACAGAGCACAGGTGGCTACTGCCAGGCAAGAAGAAAAACTTCCCTGTTTTACCAGGGTTTGCAAAACACACAAGGAAAGGACACGTGACACCACTGAGAGAGAAAGTAGTATGTGACTGCAAAGGTCTGACAGTCTGTCCAAACTTAGTAGTGAGATGTCATGGTGAACAAAAGGAAAAACCCCCAAATTTCTAAAACTTTGAACATCCCCGAAATCCTCTCCATGCAGCAGCATGACTGGTGAGGACCTAGCATCCTGGGGCCCTGAAGCCTAGACAGAGCCTGGAAGCCTCAGCCCTCCCCTGTATTGCTCCCACAGCCTCCTGTTACCTCCACAAGTTCCTTCACTACTTTCTGCTGTATTTCTACCTACTATGTCAGCACTGGCAGGGAGAACGCTTACAACTGAAATATCATCTTCATGGCAATTGAACATGCACCCAGGACACCAACTTTTGTCACAGATGGTGCCAGTCTCAAGCAGGAGACAGAGACTGGGGTAATAATACAGGCAGCAACAACCTCATAGAGTTGTTCAGAGAGGGATCGTATCCTGAAGACTTTACAAACACTGACCTGGCTAGACCCATGCACACTAACTCCAACACTGATGCTGAGTCATGAGAATGCCCTGGTGCAAGTGGGTACGGGGGCTCACTCGTCCTGCATCACTTGCAACAGACCCCACAGGCAGGGGGGACTTGGATGCAGGGATATGTGGTCTGTGATCTAGAAATCTTCCCAGAAGTTAACCACAAACTTCTATTGTCAGTAGATGATAAAGTACAGGATTTTTTTTTTTCCTTTACAATTTATTTGTTTTAAAGTAGATAAATGGAGTTGATATGCCAGTAAGTATTTACAATACCTAACTTCAGTAGGTATACTAGGAACATGAGATGCAGAACACAAACATTCTTTAGAAGTGCAATATATTTGCATCAGTGCCATCTATGCATCCAATTCTGTTGATTTTAAACCCCACACTAATGTAGAAGATCCGGGTAGAAGATTAAACATACAGCAACAAGCCACCCTGAAAACACCTGTCCATTAACATATTAAACAAGAATGCCACCAAGTAAGAAAAAAAAAGTATTGCACCAAAGCACCGAAAATGTCACCATAAAAGACTAAAGTCAAAAGTAACAAAAGACCCTTTTCAGGGTCTATGTCTAATGAAACATCAATTTCATTAGAATTAGATTTCATTTTTCTTCAGTAAGTTCAAGCATTAAGACCCAAATCCACATAAAATACAAGTATGTGGTCAGATATTTAAACCTGGAAGTTAGACACTGAGCTTGATAGAGGAAAATGAAAAAAATGAAAAACAATGGTGCAATTGAAGGCTGCAATTAAATAAGAATATAATTTTTTTTCTGGAACCAGCAATTCCCCATCTCTTTATTTACATCCCTAAATATGCATTACTAAATACAAAAATAGGCAGGCACTTTAGCAAAGAAAGTTAAACCAAACCTCTAGGAATTCAGTTGTATAAAAAATCATTTAATTAAATAATTAAAACCCCAAAAAGCTCATTCCACCCTCTCCTCTCAAAGCACCGTCATGAACTGTCCCGAATTTCCCCTTCCTCCATAGATGAAATAGATGAACTTTCACTGTCCGACTTCTCTACAGGTTCACTGCCATCTGAGGACATAGAACACAAAAACCAAACAAGTTATTAGTTTCAGTAATGTTGTTGGTTCATCAAACAGAAGCAGTTTCCTATTTTCTTTTCCTTTCAATCACACTTTTCTTGAGGACAGTTATTTCATAAGACATAACCAGTCTCACAACATGGGATAAAGCCCTGGGTACGATCTTGTTGCTGAAAGAGAAAGCAGGCAATGTTGAGAATTTATTTTAGTTTTTAAATCTTGGTCTTTCGGTCAAGTAGAAAAGCACAAAACTCTTCCTCCACTGAGAATTGTAAGTCATTCGCTTGGTTTGCTTTAAATGTTGTTTTCGAGTTGCTCCATACACGTATCGCAACTGTAACGCATTATAAGTCATTTACACTTTTACTAGCATTTCAATTAAGATGGGGAACTACTGAGAAATTCAAAACAGAAAATTAAAATGATGTACCTATGTGCTTCTTCCACATGTTCCAGCATCCCAAAGATGGTGATAAACTATGTGAATCCATAGCTAAGGCTGATGAGGTTCAAGCTGCACAACAACTTGTGCTTTAGGGCATGGCTATTGTGCTCTGCTGAGATCATATAGCGAAGCACTCATTTCCAAAACTGGTCTTCAGCCTCACACCCCATGAATCCTTCTTTAACAAGCACTGACCCTGGTCACCTTGTAGTGAGGTCACCAAATGCCACTGGTTGGTGACACTCAAGCAGCACAAAAATAAACTACAGCAAAGCAGGCCCATGATTCACACTCTGCTCTCATTGTTATTTTCAGTATTTGATCTGACTATGAATTTAAAGACCTTTTTGAGCATTTAGTGTCAGATGTTTCATTATGAGAAAGGGAGCTGATGAAGTATAGTTACTGTCTTGTCAAGATAAGTTCTACAGCTGGCAAACATGGATAATACATAGGACACAGTGTGCACCTGTACAGTTTCCAAGGAATTTGTTCAAGAAAATAGAGGCATTTCACCCAGAAACATCAGAGGTCACATTTTGTCTACATTAAATCTAGTGTATAATCAATTAACATTTATATGCCAGATATGTACTGAGTAATGCAAAAAGTAAGGATTGTTTTTGCCCCTAAGTCCTGTGAAAGCTTCTATAATCCCCTACTATCTTCAGCCATGACTGACCTTGTATGCTGAAATCAGAGCACCTGTAGGTTTTGCTATTAAGCAAGTCAAGCATCAAAACATCACATAAAAGAATGTGGCAATCTTCTGACTCACAGCAAAGCTCAACAGACAAATTTTAGCTTTATTTTTGTCTGTTACAATAAGTTTTATTTAACAGGAATTATAGATTGTCTTCACTCAAAAAGAACATATTTGTATGGTGCTGATAGCATTGCCTATAAATTAAGATTGCCCATTCCCACCATAAAACTGTCTGCAGTTTACTTATAATTAAAAATTTAAACTCCGGATTTTTCAGTGGCAGTTTCTGTTCTCAATCCTTATTTTCCTTATTTACTTGAAAGTTTCAGCCAAAATACATCAGCCATTTCTGAAAAAAAGGAGAGGAAAAAGTCTTCATGCTCATTAAATTTTAGCAGCTTCTCTTTGAAGGTGTCCAGCTCTAGCTCTCCCCCAGTCTCTGGGGGTTACTACTTGAATCACAGGTAGAATGGTGATCTTTCCCCAACATGTGCCTGTTGCTGTGGCTATAAAAACTTGCCTCTGGTCTTCCCGAGGAAGGGGGTAGATCTGAGACTGCCCAGTAAAGAAACAATATTTTAGCAATTAAAATTCCCACAAGACTTTGTTCCTTGTTCCAGCCTGGGTCCCTTGCCAGCAGAGTCAGAAGGGTTATGGTAGCTGAGCCCTCATACTGCAGCAGACACCCTGCCAGACATCCACTCATCAATGTGGCAGCTGTTTGCCTGGAATGCAAAGGGAGGTCAGCCGGACAGGCGCTCTGAGCGAGACAAGTGTCCCTCCAGGGGCACAAGTAAGGCAGAAAGGAAAGGCAGTATTGGTGGAAATAGGATAAGCAAGAGCAGGATGGATGGCTTAGGAGGAGCATGCAACTGATAGAAAAAGCCATACATGGCAAAGAAACTGGACTGCAGGAAGCACAGAAGATGCTGTAGCAGAAAGGTCACTTCTTGGGAGATGGGAAGGGGCTAGAATACCTCTCTGATTACAGCAGACTTCTCCCTGGACAGTCTGGAGATGAACTCAAGATTTGCACTCTTAGCAATTATCTGTGAATGCAACTGCTAAAGCAAAATGAAAACTGGTTTTTTTCCTCCTATATTCTGTAAACATGACACAGCAGAGTACACTGATTGTGACACACTTCAACAATAGTGGTATTTTGTCTTCAGACAGAATAATACCAACAAAAAAGCCCTCCTAGTTTTATATTCATATTCTGAACACAGTTTTTCTGAAAGAATCTGAAGTTAGTGTCACAGGCTTCCACTCTTAATAGAAAAAATTCCAAGAGCACAGGATCCAAAACAAACTCAAGGCTGAGTTTGTCATCCTAACTGAGAAGATGACAAAAATAAGTTATGATGAAAGTTGCAAAAATCATGATATTTTTGCCATAATTTTTGCTGTGTTATACCCAAGACACCTCAATAGGGAGCTATTAAATTCTTTTTTATGGAATATATAGAAACAGTTAAAACAACAATGAAAAACAAAAGAAAACTAATAGTTCTCAAAACCTGAAATAGCTGTCAGTGTTCCTAGAATACCAGCTTCAGGGATGACTGCTAACCCAATGATCCCTGCAGCAGAGGAAGCTTACTGTCCTTAAGATACACACTTGCCCTGCCCTGTGACAGAGCTTTCCCCAGCTTTCCCCTCTCTCTTCCCCTTCTCTGCCTTTTACAGAATCAGCTAGGTGCTGCAGCAGCATGACCTCAAAATATAGTTGTTCAATCAACACTTTACTTGAATCTATACCCTTAAAAGGACAACCTCCCTATTAGCTCAGGAGACAATGACAACAACTCCATTCAGATTAAGTATATGAGTCAATCAATTGTAATTCCCTCCTGATCTCAAAATCATAAGGGTAGGGCTGACTAATGAAAAGCAAGGGATCTATATCAAGAAATAATGGATAAACACAAAAATACCTTAAGGACAGTAAGATGAAAGTTTTCCCTCAAGTAAATTTCAAAAGATAACACTGTGCTTTTAACCCACCCCAAAACCTACTTTTCCATTATGATTCCTAATAAATATCCCACAATTCAGAATTATTTGTCCAAAGTTAGGAGCTATGCTAGGATGCAAGATTAGCAGGCTTACTTGAAACTCATCTTCCCCAGACAGTCTGACTTTGCTACATAAAAAAATTAGCACAAGTCTGAAGAGTTGTTTTACTTTAAAGGCTATAAATATTTTTTTAGAAAAAGAATAAAGCACCAGCAAAAAAAGCTGGAAAAACACATACAACACAGCTAATGGATGTAGGTCATCAGTCAGCATTTTTAAGGCAAAGCATTCATAATAGCTTTTGTATAGCAATCGTTTTGATTCAGAGTGAAATACAAAACATACTGCCCATTCCTGACATTATTAATAGGTATATCCTTAATTACTGTTTCTGTAAGTAAAATATCTAAGTATAGCATAACAGGAAATATATATATGCTCACCTTTGCCAAGAACCACCATGTCATTCTTCAGTGTTTTCAAGACCACAAATAATGTTGGATACTCAATTATTACTTTGCCTTTCAAATTGTCTAAGAGGCTTCTACTGGCATCCAGTTCATTGTACCTTAAAAATAACAGGAAGTTTATTTTGGATTTTAATACTAGCAAGGACATAACATACATTTTCTGGGAAAAGAAAATATCAAAAAGCTCTCTGAGCACAATTAGTTCCTCAAACTGTAATATTTTCTCCCAACACTCTAACTGGAAAACTGGATGTGAGATTTTAGGGAAAGGAAGGGTATTTCAAAGGCCTCTGAAGGTGGGACCCTGTTGCTTTCACTTCCTATAAGAGCAGCATCCAAAGGATGCTCTTATATTATCACACTGCAATCCGAGTTATGCAATTCTTTCTGCAATCAGCATTATTAAATTACCACTAAGCTATTTTATCAGCTAAAGGCAAATTAAGTCCAAACCCAAATATACTGCAGGCAGTACGTGTAGTATTGCCCATGGCTGCTGTACCTCCTCTGATCATTAAAATACTATGCAGTTGTATTTTCTTTTGCCAAAACCAACACTGGATGGTGAAGGATTCATACACTTAATGATTTACAGTAATGTGTGATTAAGAGCAGTACATCAGGAGTCAGCACACAACTAGAATACTGAGGGTAAAACAGGATTTGAGTTCTTGGGATTTAAGGGAGACTTAGTTTGAGCAAAAATTCTCTCATATTCAACTTCAAATCATCATGAAAATATTTGGTTTCGTGTTTCACTCAAGCCAAAGTAATTATGACCTCTTCTTACTGAAACCCTTTAAAAGGGATAACAGTATATTATATTTCTTATTGAATGAACGCATTCATAACTTGTGTATTAACATACATGAAAAGAAACATATTTACTGCTTTATTTACAGTACCTTAAATGCAAAGTATGGCAATACCTTTCCTTTGGCAAGGACCTCAACACATTCTTTTATGGTTAAGCAAACATTTACCACCAAGAGGCTAAAGTAATTCACATGCCACAATACACTTTCCATTATCTCATATTTTAGACAAAACATCTTTAGCGTCCAGCTTGGCATAAGATAAAACATTTGTACTTAAAACTATTTTATGATAGTAAATTACTGAAGTGTTAGATCACTGAGTCAGAGCTTTATCTTTATTGTTTTTAAAGTAAATTTTATTGGTTGACAGTGACAGAGAAAACATCTAAATTCTTAGTGCATAATGTGGGCTGTCAACTTCAGGAAGAATATAACAAAGGAGCTTAATGCTTCTCTTATTTAAACTTGGCTGTTGCTGTCTGTGCTATCCAAGACTTCAGTCTACCACATTCCCTACTTCATACACAAGTGCAAGCTGAGGTTTTCTGCTAATCCACCTGCCAGCCGCTTCCTGGACTGTGCTTAAGAGATCTCAAAACAAAACTAGTATTTGTCACATCAATTCCAAAGTCTAATTAAGAACAGCTCCTGAGCAAGACTGATTTTTCAGGTTATCTCTGAAGACCTTGTCATGATAAAAATCTTCCCGATTTTATCCCAGGACTAGAACAAGGTCATACATCAGAGGGTGAACAACAGAGACTTATGGGTAAAAGAAGACTGCCCTGTAAGGTTCTCTTTTCAATTTTTACTTATGAAAAGGCTATACCGGTTTGGAGAAAAATGAAATGAAATGGCATTTTTACAAGTCTTATAACTTCCTGTAATGATTATTCACCAGGATGAGCTGAGGATGTAGGATAACACTGGAATGGCAGGTCCTTTCCTGTATGTGCAGCAAATTGGTCTCACCACAGGCAGAGCTGCAATGAGCAGCAGAATCCACAATGAGCTGCAATGTTCTTCAGGCCCTTCCTTCACAGTACATTTCAAGTGACAATCCAGTAAAATTAATAACCAGCATAAGTTTATCCTTTCACTTGGACTCTTCCATGCTCCAGGACCAGCTGCAGGAACCAACTTAACTGAAGCTGTCATCCTAAACAAGCTCCTTCAGCCCTTCATACCAGGATGGATTTGGGATAAGCCTGGCTCCAAACTAACAGACCACGCCAACACAACCATGGCCTTAATACCCAATTTCACATCTTTCTTTTAAACCCTCCCCCTGCTTTCTCTTTTCTCCCACTGCCCAGTTCATGCAAATTGTCTGCACTATGGCTTCCCGATCCCTGTACTCAGTGGGATTTCTCTTTACACCTTCTCTCTCAATCTTCTTTCCTCCCTGGTATTTACTTTCCACATATTTTCTCTCTCCCTTCCATATCTTCCCTCAGCCTTCCTGAACAACACCCACCATCTAATGATACACTTTCCTGATTATTTTCTTGCCCTAAGCAAGGCTTTATGCCCATGTCATGAAGCAATAAAGAGGCCTGGATTTTTTTTTAATAAGAAACGACTCCCTTTATAGGGACCACAAAGAGATGATCTTAGCAGACAACAGTTTTTGATTTTAGCTGGAATGAAATAGTAATAACTTCTTTTTGAAGGACAAAAATTAAATAGAAATTGCCTGCCAGTAGGCAGTTTAAAAGCCTACAAAAATTGTGATAATTGAGAAAATTTAGCAAGATTCAGCAATCCTACATCAGTTCCCATATAAACTGTTCTATTTGCTCTATGAACAGCTTTGTTACCTTTCAGAAAATACTAAAATTAATGTGGGTCTGCACTTCTGATAGCATCTATGAGTTTCTGCAAAGGCTAGCTTCACTATCTATAGTTATTCCACCACCTTCCAGGAATTCAACAATTTAGTCTCATAATCTGTCTCCCACAGGCAGGAATGCCGCATTAGGTCACTGCATCACAACAAGTTCCCCTCAAATGGTGCCTGTGGCTATCACTGCAGTGGCGTAACTTGTCTCCTTGAATTCAGACAGCAGGAAATTCCCTGCTGATCAGGTTTTCCTGAATGTCATCTACAGGAACTTTTATTTTAATAATAATAAAGAAAAATCTGCAATTTGGAATTAAAGATGAATTGCAACCATGTTATTTCTTTAGTTTAGTCTTCTAGACACTGAAAAGAGAACAAACAAGTTTTAGCTATCTAAGTAACTGTAAATATTACTAAAATGCATGTTTGTATAATGACGTTCATGATTTTCCTGTGAAAGAGATCAACTAAACCCCTTGCACATATTTTAAACAAAGATGATTTTTCTTCCTAGAACTGAGTGGAAACATCGAGGTATTTACTTGGCATGACTCAGATACAATAAATCATGCTATCTATTTTGAGCCTAGTCTTAAAAATCCACAACCAAACTTACGCTAACTTATGGGAAGAAGGAAGGATTTTTTTTTTTCCCAGACCAAAGAGGGTAGCATTTCTTAGGTATCGGCATTCGCTTAGAAGAGGGCAAAGACTGGGTACGGCATTTAAAGTCTCTCCCAAGCATTCATTCTGAAGTGCTGCAGTACAGCAAAGATAATAACTAACAGATGGACTTTCATTCCTAAGTGGTGAATAACCTCTTCGTGTGGTTATGATTTGGTGAACATGGAAGTAGGGAAATGCACTCGAATTAGGTATGAAATGAAGGTTGTATGGCAGAAAACAAAGTTGTATGGCAGAAAATAAATGCAATATATGGACACAATGTACTTCGCTTTGTCACTACGATTCTGACATTCTAAAAAGCCTAAGACTGTAAATTTTATTAGTCCATATACATGAAAAAATTAGAAAATTCAATGAACAAACCATCAGAGATCTTAGAAACAAACAAACAAACAAAAGACTTGCTGTAATACTTCCTTTATAACTAACTCTTATCAACAGCAAAATAGTATGAAAGAGTACTCTGTCTGAAAACTCTTTTAAGGAAGGAGGATGGGAACCTAATTCGAGCTGATATTTTAACATGAAAAAAATTATACTACAGTTTACGCAAATTTATAAAACCTGCTAGCTCCTCCTTCCACTCTTGGTTATGTCTCTTCTCCTGGTCTAGGGGCTCCATAATTTGCCTCAACGAATCTTCACTAACTTCTCCTCCATACTATTGATACTTGCATAACTCAACCAATACTGATAAAGACCAGATGCCTGGCCAATCCCTTTTCAAGTCAAATCCCCATCTTAAGTAACACTTCCATCAAAAATGTGCTTTTTCTGGAAAAAAAAAAGGAAAACTAGAGCAAGAAACCTTCTCTTAGAAACCACTTGGACCACAAGTCCTGCTAAGAACCAACTAAAAAAGTACAGGAAGAAAAGTTGCCAGCATATCAGGAAAGCATCTTGGATATTATGACCATCTCCACAATACATAAATCACATCTAAATAACGAGAAAACCATGAAGCTGTTCCTTTTTCTTGCCATATTTTGGCCACAGGTCATCCTCAAACAAAGACCATCTTAAGACCAGGTGTAACAATCCAGTGTCTCCTCTCTTTTATGGGCTGTAAGAGGCTCTGCTACTAGGGAAATCTAAGAACTGCTAAAAACTCAAGTGTAAAATGGGGAAAAGAAAAACTGAACTCACAAACCCCCTCTTATTACTAACATATTTCAGGGAGTTAAAACATCCTGGAAGAAAAAAAATAATATCCAGGTGAAGACAGCAGGAACACCAATTGTCACCTGAATTATTTGACACAATAGTAGATGTCCAGAAAGATTTAATGGTTTGTTCACTTTTACCCTAGAAAATAGTAAGCAGAAAGAAGAGATAAGCAAAATAACACTACAAGTACATCACGATAGAAGCACAAAGGCTGTCCTTGTTTAAACCTCTTGAGAATGAGGCAATTGCACAAAGAAAAAAAGCAGAGTAAAAGCTGTTTAATGACAATAATGGAAAAATGTATCAATTGATGGCAAAACCCATAAAGGAGATAAGGCAACTGGTGCAACAATTTAGTGGACTGAGCTTTAAGAGTGATGTGGTAAAAGGATTCAGGACGCACAGTAATGATTTAAAGATTAATTGAAGTACAGAACATTCTGCATCTTTTAGTTATAAAAGAAAGTACAACAAAACAAAAGGAAAATGTGAAACCAGCAAATGTCAGTTTCTTGCATTTGGCAGAATTTGGTTCAAAGAACACAGAAATAAAGTGATACTGAATTTCAAGAATGCAAATACT